AATCAAGATAAAAGCGCAGTGGGGCTTATTTTACTTTGCTGAGATGAGAAGATAGAAGGCCCTGATTCACACAGAATCGGAAGGAAGCTTTTATTTCATTTGGGCATGTTTAACGAAAGCAAGCCATAGAAATTAAAAGCTAGACCTCATACCCCATTCACGAAGCGGAGGAGAACACAGCTTCCTTTTACTGACTAACTCAGTGCGCTTACCTTGAACGTGAGAGGCTCAGGCCCTGCCTGATGCAAAACACAGAATTAAGAGCGCATGGGATACAGGCAACAGGAGTTCAGATCCGACCGCAGAAGACTTGACTGCTGATTTCCCCCCTGACTGGCAAGTGCTCTGACCATCAGAGCATAGCATGAAGAAGATGGAAAAGCATGACTTCTCCCTCATTTTGTGAATCAGGCTGTCAGGAGAAAATATTTATGAGCTGAAACTGTCCATTAAAATTGTGGGTAATTTTGGATCAAACAAAACGTCAGGTATATTCTGAAGAAAAAAGAATTGCTATAGTTTTGAATAGCTATAAGAATGCAAAGCCTTGTAGATAAATTTTATGAATACTCCGTTTATCAAATGTAATTTCTCATATACTTGTTTTTCTTGCTGCAAAAATTTGCTAAAGAAAGAAGTCATCAGTGAAATAAGTATTTAAGCTAGATGCTGCACCTAATACTAAAGGCAACTATGGGTTACAAAGTAGAACGTTGACCTAGAGTTACCTCTTGTTTTTTAATTTCCTTCAGCCAAAGCGATCCTGTGCTCTGCTTGTGGTCAGTCTGGGAAACCCACCAAAAAAAAAAAAAATCAAAACACAAAAATAAACAAACTTTTCTGATTATAGGTAAGTTTCAAATGTGTGGTTCAGTTCTCTGTGGTTCTCTTCACAAGCCATCTATGCTAAAAAGTAGTTGAGAGAAATGGAAAAGACAGTTACTTAGACTTACTAGATAAAATAGGCATTTCAAATTTGATAAGATCACCACATATTTTGGTTCCTGCATGAATATCCAAGGACGGCGATACATTTCAGAATAAATGCATGAGAGTGGTTTGCATTTTGATTTTTTTTCCTAATGTTAACGTTTAACCTGAACATGTATAAATCTACACACTGAAGTTTGATTGCCCTGCATTACACCGATGAAAAGGACACATGGGCTAGAAAACATTTTATGACACTTAATTGTGGTCAAGATGCAGAGTCCCTTTCTCCAGCGCTGGAAAATTCACAGTTTCCCTGTCAATAAGCAGGGGGAACAGTTAATACTCACCAGTAAATACTTCCCCAAAAGCCTTGAAGATGCAAGGAGCAAAAATACTGAACATTAGTAAAAGCATAACACGGTTATTACCGAAAGAGAAGCTATAACTCATTATACAGCTAAGTTTTTAAGAGTTTTTATTAAACTGAAATCCAAGCATTTCCTTTTAAAATCTCTGTTGGTTCCTGTTCCAAAGGATTTATTTTTTCTGCCCAGCATGTATCGTAATATGATAACAGGAGACTTCTTTATTTAGATTATTTGAACAAGTAATTCAGTAATTGTAAGATGAAGCTCTAACCTAAGCAATTCCTTCCTGCCTTCTTTTGATATCACCACTTTTAGACCTAACAAGTTGTGGCAAAATTCTTTACTATTACCAACTAACAAAAAGTTTTAAGATAGTCCTTGCTCCATAAGTTTCACCTTTCAATCTGCTATAATTAAGACAAATGAAATTATGATATCAATACCATCCATTTCCAAAACTGACCATGATTAAAAAGCTTAAAAAGAGTTGGCAGCCACCTGGCTGATGACTTGGTAGTAGGATCTGATCCTTCCAAAACACAACAGTCTCCTGCTTCAAGTTTTCCACCTTTACCTCTGGAGTGAAAAGACACAGAGGTGCAAGCTGACTTGAAATCATTACAGAGATATCTGCATGTAACTAAAGATCGCTAATCACAAAAATTTAGCGCATCAGGATCTTGCATTTATGACATTCTTAGGACAACTACAGGTCCTATACTAAAGAACATGAATAAATGAAGCTTAAAAAGATAAATAGAGACTTTTTTCCCCATAACTATTAACTCCAAAGGAAATGATTGGCTAATATGAAGATATTTAACCCACTAATTCCACCAGTTTATTAATAAATCTACATTGCAACTTCCTTTTTTGTTCTCCACTTACTAACTTCTAGCAAAACTTGTTTGAACAAGAACGGGAAATCAAATACAGAATACAAAGGCAACATATTCAGAGAGCTTCAGCTAGGATCTGGCTTTCGTGGGCTGGCTGGCACTAACAAGCAGCAGCAATTCCACACTGAAAAACTGAGAAAAGCTTGAAGAGCTTAAGCGAAGGACTGCAGCCTCTCAGGACAGGCAGGCAACTTGCTGCACCACTGACATAATGCAGCTAAATGAAGTCTCCCGCATACTCCCACCTGGCAGGCTTAGAAATCCCAGAGATGGCTCTATTACAGCAGCATCCTGTGACATGCCAGCCGAGCAAACACTGAGATCTCCCGGTACTATTTAAATTAGGTTTGGTTAAAAATTGGTCCATATAGCCAGACAAGACAGATATTGTTAACTTTTTGAGCGTCTGAATGTTGTCAAATAGGTTGGCATTTCATATGGTCCATATGGGATTTTATATGATTGTAAATGGAGCTTGATTACTTTTAGCTAATCATGAGGACAAGGAAGAAAAGATCCAAATAACAACTAATTTGAAACTCATAGGGCTATCCTGCATGTATTTTTCTCCTAGACAGGTCTTTTACAATCTGGGATAACCACATCCTCTGCCTGGCTCCTCAGAAACCTCTGAAACAAGAGACATCGCTTTTTTTAGCTGTTTGTTTGTTTTTAAGATCTGGATAAATGGATGGCTTGGCGCAGGGCAGCAGCCAACGGGGGTGGTTACCGCGAGTGAATGGGGACTGCGGTGCCACGCCAGCGCCAAACACAATCTCCCAACAGAGAAGCTAGCTGCCATGCGGTGACTTATCTGGGCAATATAATGGCTGGGGAGGAGGAGAAGAGGGAAGTTCAAATAAAAATAAGACAGAAGGAAAACAGTGGAAGGTTGGGGGCTACTGAATGGGCTGGCAAGAAAAATAGGGATTAGCTTGAGATGGAAGGGCGCCAAATGGACACTAAAATCTCCAATCCTCCCCCACAACAACATCCAACCCTTCTTTCTAACCAGTCTTTTAAAAAGTAAAGGCATTTACAAAACTGAGTTACACCCCAGACACACATCAACTCATTCTCCTTTATCAATATTAGAATTTCTTTGATTTATGAAAACGTGCTGCAAACAGAGGATTGACATTATATGTAGCTAGGAAGGATAAGGTCTAACAAGGGAATTAGTCATGTAATTCATGAATGTATGTGACAATTCAGTTATGAAGATGTCTGTTTAAGGTCCCTAAATTACCTTATGTCTTAAGAAAATACAAAGTAAAACCCGAGTTCTACACAAAAAAAAGGGGGAGGAAAAATTAAGTATGTCACAAATTAACCTAAGGGATGATTCTGCCGTCTAGGGAAGATGTAAGTAGTTGACAGAAATAGGCTACAGTACCTCAGAATTGCAGATCGTTTGGGTTGTTTCTACACATTTCCTCAAGGTCTGCAAGAACAACACAAGAAGAGACTTTTTAGACTGTTATAGAAGAAGTTAAACATTTCTTGTTGCCACTTGGCTTTGCAATATGGTACCTATACGCTGTGTCTTCCAACCCTGAAGTGTTAGCAAAATGTTCCTCGTGATGGTGCAATCACCTGCCAGCAGGGTGTCTGATATGTAACAGTGCAGAAGCTTAAAAGATACAGAATTAATATGTACTACATGAAAGAACAGCTGAATTTGTAATTAATATCTAGAATGCTGTTCTTAGTTGGGCTAACATAACTTTTCAATAATACTCAAGTGATATTTTCAAATTTTCTTTGCAGCTCATTATTAAAATTTAAAGTCCCCAATCTAAAAAAAATATTTGGATTATATACTGGAGAACTGCATGGCAAAAATTAATCTTTTGCTAAGGCCTTGGGCTACAAGCATCAATAGCCACCACTTATCACAATGAAATCACCATGAAGGTACTGAAAATTAACCTAAGCTAACAAAAGACATTGTTCTGCAGCCTTCAGGACCAGTGCTAATGGAAGAAGCCTGCTAAAAGATGTATTTGTTCTGAGTTTACACTAAGATGTGGATAAGGAAGGATTGCAGTTGGATGAGTTGTAGAAATAGGGCTGATTAAAAATGCAAAGTTGCTCTGATTATGTGCAGTGGATATTTTCCAGGACTTTCAGACACCTAGCCACTGCCAGACATATGGAATCCAAGATACAAGGAAGCAAAGTATTTGCAGTGTTGTTATCAGACCTGCATATATTAATGACTTTGCAATACTCCATCAGCAGGGTATTGCATGCAATACTTACATCTTATTCTAGTTCGTAATGGGTTTTGTCTTTATTTCAGTTATGTTTAAAGTGTCCAAGATCAACTTTCTCCTTTAAATTGTGCTGGTTTCAGCACAATCCTATCTTAGACTCAAAGGAGATGTACACTATTGGGATCTGTCTTATTTGAATTTTCCAAATTATAGACCTATATAGAGTACAATTTTGAAGTGAAAGCTTTCACTTCTTTAATTTCCTACAGTTACATAGTCTGGTGTATTATAAATGACAGTAGATCTTCAAGATTGTGAAAGGCTGCATTACTATGAAAACAACACAGATTCATGCTGTATGTAATGAAAGGAGAAACTAGTTCAGGATTGGTAGTGCTGCAGGTAACTAGCGATGTCTTTTTTTTTTAATGGTACACCTGTATGAAAATTCTGACTGAAAGTACAATCAAGCATAGCATTTGTGCTTATGTCGTATATAATTAACAAGCTCTGCTAATAAAGTCAGCAATGAAGAAACTGAGAAAGTTTTCAAAGGCAAAGGATGAACTGAGAATACCTTCCACCATGAAATATAAAAGATTTGATGCATCAGTTGGTACCCCTGAGACAAGGAAGAGAAAACCAGGAAGTACACTTTTCCTTTTTAACACCTGTGAAAAATGCCATAAGCAAGGAGACCTTCAGATTCATAACTGCAGTGATGAAGCGTACCCACTGCAAACAGTTACAAGTGAAATAATAAACAAAAATACAGCTAGCACACTGAGGGCTAGGGGGGTGGGAGGGGAAATCAAGCAAAGAGCTTAAAAAACTTCCCCAAATATCAGTTTAATATTAAACTTACTCCTGTTGCATTACTCATATTTTGGTTACATGCCAATGAGTGTAACAGAAGTTCAGACAAAAAAAGGAATGAAGAACAGAATGCAGTTACTAGCATAGCTGAATTGATGTTGCCTCAACAGCTTTTATTATAGGAAGACGCTTAACTTTTAGAAACAAATATAGGAAAATAAAAGTGGGTCTTCTAAAATGATTTCACTGAGATATTAGCCCTGGAGCTGTGAGTTCCTGGTGAACACCATAAACTGATGAAGAAACTAAGTTTACCTTTCAAAAGGAAGAACTCATAGGTATTGAATATTTCAGTGTAAGAATCAACGCTTTAGAAACCTGAAAGCACGGTAAAATCCATCACCAGTAGAAACCAGGTGAGCATGCGCTATAAGATGATCAATACAAAAAAAGCAAACACCCTGGAAGTGGTTCAGATATAGCTTAGTCATGATGCCACAAGAGGTTTCAACCTCTATCTGGCAACCAACGGAGCAAAGTGAGAAATTAACTTGGAACCCTTTTCACAGGTTTACAGTAATTCTCAAATAGCCTCGATGACAGGAAAGTAGATTTTGTTCCAGAGTGCACAATTTGAGAAAATCTAGTTTAGTGCTCTTAAATCAATATGCAAAAATATGGTTTCAAATAGATTCTGAATCCTAAACCAAAACCACACAAACCAAAATGCAAATAGGTTATTTGCAACAGGAACAAATGCATTTTGTTATTTTAAAAGCTTCAGTTTGTGTGAATGGCAAGTGTTTTCAAAGTTAGGATTTTGGGAAAGCTTTTATTTCAGTGTAAAAATTGTCACAAAAGTTACAATTCCTAATGAAAAGTGATGCAGAACATGTTACTGATTTCAGTACAGTTAGACAATATTGTAAGCACTGTACAGATATGCACATCTGAGAATATTATGATTTACTGAAAATTTAGCCACTTTATCTAACACAGTGACTGAATTACATAAGTACAATTCTTAAACTCAAGAGACTAATCAAACAGTAAAATCACCAAATTAAGCCATCATTTAAGAAAGGAATAAACTTAGACTTCTAGGACTAAAAAGCAATTCTGTAGAACTACTATATGTGCAAGCAGAATCCCTCTTCCACAAACTTTCCTCTGCTTCCAAGATTGACTCCCCTTTTCTCACTCCCCTTTTCTCATCGCTCAATGCATCTAATTTTTTTTTATTGTTTTTACTATCTTGCCTTTACATTTAGTCTTTTTGCTTTTAAGGAAGAGCGCTATAGTACTTGTATTTGCTTTCAGTTAGTAGTTCTCTTACCTGTACCCTCCCAATCCAATGGATGGGTGAAGTCATCAACTGGAAAACAAAACAAATCCGAACAAAAAAAAAATTCAACTACTCAAACCTCCTGTTCTTCCCTTTTACTTTATTTCAGCTTTATTTCAAAACAACTGACTCCTCTTGCCAGCTACCTTCCTTTATGTACTCAACAGAAAACAAATAAACAAAAAAGTTATTTGCACTTCTCTCAGAGCCAGTAGATGGCTACAAAGAAATGAGTCTTAAGATCTGTGAAATGACTTTTCTAGGGAAAAAAAAAGTAGCATTAAAGAAAATATTAATCTATCTCAACTTTAACTTGCTAAATAGAGCACTGAAAACTGGGAAAGAAAAAAGATGAAATGCACTCATTTTTAAGGTGGTTTGATATATAGTTCATTTAGAGAGAAGAGAAAGAGATTACTCAATTAAAATTAAAAGCTAGCTTTCTTGTCTCAACTGTTTTTTTTTTCCTCTTGTGAGAATCTTAGAGAAATATGGGATTCTGTGCTTTTTCTCATGTATTAAAGCCATCTCCATTTTATGTAGGTTGCATTTAACTACCACAATGGATTACTTTTTCTATTAATGAAGTGAAACGCTTAACAATGAATAAGATGCTTTTAGTATCACAGAATGTGTCTTGTCACATAATTTTAAGATCAGAGGTGGATACTCCTCCATTTTGATATCCAGACAGACTTGAGAGAGGATCCCTCAAGTAAGATGATAAAATCAAGTGCCTTCTCTGCTTTGTGTGACCGATGTTACTGGCGTTATCAATTCATCCTTCCTGGGAAACTGTTAAACCCCCTCCTCTCCCCAGCAGTATGAATGCTGCCACCACACTCCTTGAAAATAAGGTGTGTAAAATTACCTAGAACAACTAAAACTTTGTCTGTTTTTGTCAGACAAAGACAAAAACAAAACCGAGATGTACACATTTGAGTTTAAGCCACACTGCCTTCAAAATGAATGTACTTCCATACCCAACGATATTAATTTTCCAAGGGACAGAACACTCACTGGTCCTGGTCTCCACAGCAGAACTACTGACATAAAATGATCTGAATGCACTGGACTACTTGGCTAGAGCAAAGAGACCAAATGTATGTTAGGCAAACTCATTCCTTGACAAGAATGATATGAATAACACACACAGCGACAAGTAAATCTGTCCCGATATCGTCTCCAGCTATTGTCTAACCCTATACCAGCTGGGACTACATTAGCTATAGTGTGGTAACAGCCAGAGATGCTAGCATAAAGATACCAAGGATTCTGTGAAAACAGATGCATTTCTCCTGGGTTATTATGAAAGGACGCAATAGAGTCAAAACATCCTTTAAGCAAAAATTCCTGAAAGTAAACCTGACCAGGGTCATACATCCACATGAAGTAGCACAACTTCTAGGGAAAAAAAAAAAAGGTCAGAAAGTGAAAATCTGTTTACATCACTACAAATATCAACTCATAAATACTGACGCAATCAAAAACGGCAAATGAAGCATTTCTGCGTAAAAGTTGTAAAAGATGCAACAAGATCATTAACGTATACATCCTACTCAAGATGCGCTTGTTTCTCTCATACATATTGGTATTATTCAACATTAGGATTGTGAAAGAGTCCAGACGTGGACCAAGTTAGGTGCTTACCACCTTGCACGATCTTCTCTTACCTTCCCAGAGTTGAGCAAATGCCTGCTCTCTTTACCTCAGAGAGGCACTCTCCCCATCTTCCTTGAACTCAGAGTTCTCTCCTAAGTGTAATTTGCAGAATGAATTACTTTTGAATCAAGTATCCCTTCTACAGCTATGAATACATTAACTCTAGAAAATAGCAAACTATAATAACCATTGCCATATCTACTTTCTTTTGTTATATTTTACATAGAGCCATTGGGGTTTAAAAACTTGAATAAAATTTTATTTAACAAGTTGAAAGGTGCAGAACCAGAGGGGGCCCATTTTAGCTCATTAATTTAACAACAAAACCCACTTGACCATGGATTATGCAGCTGTGGCAGTCAGTCCAAGCCATTCCATTGCTATTTTCTTAGACACTATAAATCTTTAGAAGTTCAAGCAACTTCAACATATACAACAGCACAGATCGTGAAGAAAAAGCATCCAGGTAAAATGGAAAATTACTTGACCCAAACAAAAAAGAGAAATTAGCTTACATGAACCAGGTACTCTAACACAGAAAACAAATGCTCTTACAGTCTGCCTGTCAGTACTACTGACACGAAAGCAGATTTTAGGGGATCTTTAAGATCTTTCAGAGTTTTTTTCAGGGAAGGATTCTGAAAGCATATTAAATACCACATCTGTGAAAAATCAGGAAAGACACAGCATTTGCTTTTGCAGCAAGTCAACCAGGACCACCAATTACAACCACAGAGAAAGAATCTTGCCAACTCTTGGCCAAAACCAAAAGACAAATATTGCATTTCACTTTTAAGCCCCAGTAATAGCCATCTGATAGCTGGTCTGAATAAGATAAGACAAGGTAGGTTTTCTAAGCACTTTCTAAACATCAGTCTTCAAGCTGTTGGCTATTCAGAGATCAGCAGCAAACAATTCCCCCTTTCGGTAGCTTTGGAAAGGTCTCTGATTTCCGCCAAACCACACTAGAGAAACCTTCAGGGAAAGGGAAAGCATTTTTCAAAACCCATCACTAGATAGAAGCAACTGCTTTTCCCTCCCTCCTCCATATCCATTTAGTAGAAGGAAAAAAAAAAACCCTAGATTTGCTGCTTTTGTGAATCTGAAAAGATTGATGATATACTTCTGTAAGGTAACTTTAAAAAAAATTATTTGTACTTATAGTACCCCCTGTAAGTAAAGAGGCGTATCTGAAATTTAATTAAGCGGTTTGATCCCCATCTTTGCTGCCATCTGTAGGTAACATAAGTGGTACAAAGGAGACAAGAAGGTTTAAATGTGGTCAGAGGTTAGTCCTCTCATCAGGACTTGTGACCACGGAAAAGCCTAATGCTCCTGTCCCATATCCCTCCTGATTTAAAAGTGAAAATTAGTTGGAAAAAGATAAAGCATACAACAGCTTACCCCGTCTCTCATTGTGCCTCAAGAGTACTCCTGCACTCGAGAGATCAAAGACAACTTAGTTCACACTATTTTACAGCATTGTTACAACATGGTAAAGCACTAGAACTCTTTAATTTTGACTATAGCTATGGAATATACTTCTGGGTGTACCTCTGGTAGTTGAAACACAGTTTCTCAGTCAGTGAGCAATACTAAGACTTAACAAAACTGTTACCGCAAAGAAAAATTTTCAAAAGAAAAATAAAGCAAAAGCAGAGCGCCAGATAAGATTTTCAAGCCCATTATGACCAGTTTTAGAAATCTGACATTAAATGAGGCCAGAAATTGAAGTGTTTGATTTAATGACTGCACAATTTTAATACATAAAAATAGATACTTAGTAATGAACAAATTTATACAAACCAGATTTCTTTTGTACTGTACAAAACAATGATGGAGATAAAAAAAGATTTACTGAATTACAAGGCAAGACAAAAGAACAACGAAATGTCATTGAAGAAAAATTTTAAAATGATCAGAGGCTTATTTCATAAATAAGTGCAATGCTTTCATTTAACAAATACAAAATTTACTATTTAATTTATTAACATCAGGAAATATATAAAATGTCATCACATGACAGGATCTTTTTTAAAAACTGATGCGAATACAATAGCTTTTTTAGAATTCTGAGGTAATATTACACAGTAAATCAAAAAGCTTTAATAAATAAAACTAAACCCAAGACAGTGCAATTCAGTGAAAATAAGAAGATAAAGCTTTCATTTTAACAATAATAGATAAATATTATTAAAAGTGGGCTTAAGCCATAAAAAAATATTTTGGCTAGTGTGCCTTGTTTTCAGATAAATCATAGAGCTATTTATTTATAAGCCAACATTCCATGAATCCAATTCTACAGCGGGGGAAAGGGAGGTGTTTGTTTCCAGATTTCTTACCTACATCCACTTCTGCTGTTAGGTTCAAGCAATTCTAAATTTCTATCTAGTCCATTCAGTGCAGTGGTGAAAGTTTCATTTATTTCTTAACATTGGAATTCCTGTAAATTGAAATCTATTTTAAAATCTCCATTTTGGAAGAAACGATATAAAGTGCACAATTTTGAAGTGCTGCTTTTAACACAGACAGCACTACCTTAGCTTCATTCCAAGCTGAAGTGAACACGTTTTAATATTTGTTTCAATAACAGCACAATTACAATAGTGCCAGATATTTTAAAGTAACCCACTATATATCTCTGCTTTAATAAATTAATACAATCACCACTGCCTTCTCTAGGAAAGAGAATAAAATGCAATTTACGCTTAGCTACTGAAGAAAATCCACAATGGCTTTGAGACTACAGATTAGACAAATGAATTTGTTCATCATGTGAACAACTGTTGGCTGTATGCAAATAAAGAAAGGGAAAATCAAGAATAATAAAATATTTTGCTGTCATTGCAAATAAGTAATTGAATACACACACTCAAAAATATTTAAGCATCCAACTCCCAGCAGAAGTCAACTGGGAAAGTTGACAAGTTAGAAGCCTAAATATCTTGGAAGATGTAGGCCTCATTCAGCTGAAATGAAAATCTACAGAACACACAGTAGCTTTTGATTATGAAAAAAATACTACACTGCATGCTAATAAATTGTTTAATGAATAAAACCCAGACTTGTAATTACATCTGCATTTTAGAACCAGGTATTCCCAGCTCCTAGTTTGCTAATTCAGAAGAAGCATACTAAAATTTTTTTTCCACCTAGTTTGTGCAGGGAAGAACTGCAAAATATTGTCTTTAGGTGCTGACCTTTGAGTTAATGAAGGCTTCAACATTCTTCTGAAATGTTACTGTATTCACTTTTGTCATAGCTTAAGACTTTCAGCAAAGTTGCTGATAAGATGATAGCATGATACACTATATACCATTTTTTATGATGTGGATTTCATTCTTTTCCTGAAATATTTAAATATATGAGGATTTTATTTTAAATATCTAGTTTTGTTTACTCTATGAAACTACAGTAAATCTGTTTAGTTTGTTGTCAGTTTCAGAGCAGGAACATACAAGTTGCTT